GGGGCTGGATTCGAACCCACCATCTTAGGTGTATGTGGCTGGCGCCTTCGCCACTTGAGCCACAGGCACTGAGCCTAATTTTTCTATTTTTCGTGGAAATGGGGTCTTATTCTTGCTCAGGCTGATCTTGAACTCTTAAGCTCAAGGGATTCTCCCACCTCAACCTCCCAGAGTGCTGGGATTACAGGAGTGAGCCCAGGACCTTATCTTAACTTTTGACCTACCAACTTTTTTGTCGTTGCTTGTACTCTGAGATGTCCTTGTTTTCTTTTGGTCTGTGCCTGTGTATACACATGAGGAGCCTCAGGCAAGGACACTGTCAATTAAGTGAGCGGTTACTGTAGGTAATTAAATAAACCAGCTCTCAGAGCAGCACATTAAGTCTCCCTGCTTGTCTGAAAGGATAGGACTTTAAGGAGCAAAGACTTAGATAAATGGAAACAGTGCCTGGAAGGACAGAGTCAGAATATCACTGAGGATAAATTTAGTGCCGGAAATTCAGTAGCACTTTCTGACAGGCCCTCAGAGAGGTCATGTTACTTGAATAGATCCATGTACCTCATGAGTTAAACTTCAGAATGAGGAATATTGAACTAGATTCTGTGACTGAGCATATTACCTCTTGATAAATGTTTCTGTTCTCTGAATTATACTTGATAGCCTCATTCATATCCAGGTCTTCTTTTAGGCTGTGAAAATAAAAGACTGCATCTCATAAAGCCCCTGTCCTCAAGATGCTCACAGTCTAGTAGGTTAGGGGACTGGTACGGGCAGATCTCTCCTGTGCTGTGACAGTATCCAACTCCTCTAAGACCTGAAGGGCCCTGGGGCTCAGTCCTCTCATCAAAGTGCGTTCATTTTCTTGAGTCCCCCCATACACTGACAGCTTTGTATCACCACCCTGACCTCCAGATTCATTTATTCAGTAGCCCCTTCACTTGAATGTCTAAAGATAAGGTGGCTGTACAGCCCAATCATCCTGGATCAGTCCTGATTCATACCTGTTGTCCTGGCTTAATCATTAATAGCATCCCTTTTTCATTTAAAAAATAAAAAAAGAAAAGGGCTGGGCGTGGTGGTTTATGCCTATAATCCTAGCACTGTGAGAGGCTAAGACAGGAAGATCATTTGAGGCCAAGAGTTTGAAACCAACCCGAGCAACATAGCAAGACCTTATCTCTACAAAATATACAAAAATTAGCCACTGTGGTTGTGCACACTTGCCATTCTCACTACCTGGGAGGCTGCAGCAGGAGGATCACTTGCACTTAGGAGTTGAGGTCGCTATGATCTCTGATGATGCCACTGCACTCTAGCCAGAGCATCAGAGCAAGACCCTGTTTCAAAAATCAAAAAATTAAGGCCTGATTTGGACAAAAAGGTACAGGCATCTCAGACAAACTTTATATATATTCAGAATCAAACTTCTCATTTTTGCCCAGACCTGTAGACTTCCTGCAGACTTCCCATCTCAATAAATGGCACTTCTATCCTACAGGCCACATCCCATCCATTAGCAAGTCATATTAATTATCTTCAGAATATGTCTAACAAGATGTCCAGCAGCCTCTCACTATCAGCACTACTATGGCTAGTCTTCTTGCTGCTACACTTGGTCTTCTGCTGTCAGTTCTCCTCATTATGTAGCCTTTTAAATGCCAGTTGCTCAAAACTTCTAATGATACCTTCTATTAGTAAGAATGGAAGTCCTCACACTGGCTTGCATGGCCCTACCTTACCAGGACCCCAGCCACCTGCTGGTCTATTCCACTCCTACTTTCTTCTCCTTTACTTCGTTCCAGCTGCAGGGCCTCCTTCTTCCTTATTTATGCTACTGACATTACCTGTGCAGGACCTTATACTTGCAGTTCTTACTGCCTAGAAACTCCCCTCTCACTTCAATCAGATCTCTGCTTAAGTATAAGAAAGGACTTCTCAGACTACCCTAGCTAATAATAATGATACCCCACCCCCACTACTGTTCTTTATTTCACCACTTATTTTCCTTTACAGCACTTATCATGACCTGAAATTTTATTTTATTTTATTTTATTTATTTTTAGAGATAGTCTCATTTTATTGCCCTCAGTAAAGTGCTGTGGCATCACAGCTCACAGCAACCTCAACTCTTTGGCTTAGACAATTCTCTTGCCTCAGCCCCCCCAAGTATCTGGGTCTACAGGTGCCTGCCACAATGTCTGGCTATTTTTTGTTGCAGTTTGGCTGGGGCTGGGTTCGAACCTGCCACGCTTGGTATATGGGGCTGGTGCCCTACCCACTGCGCCACAGGCGCCACCCAACCTGAAATTTTAGATGTTCATTTATGTATTATCAGTCTCATCCTACTAGAATATCAGTTCCAGAAGGGTAGGGCCTTGGTTTTGTTCACTGCTTTATCACCACATACAGTTCCTGTCGTGAAGCAGATGTCCAATAAAAGTTTGAATGACCAGTAAAATGTTGTTGAATGAGTGAATGAATGAATGAACGAAGGGCAATATGTAGACACAATGGGCATTTTTATGTAGCCGTGATCAGGAAGAGTTTAGACTTTATGTTGGGAACTACACAGCTTTCCCTTGTTGACTACATATATGTCATACATACATAGTGCAAAAGGTAGAGCACCCAAGGAGTTAGGAAGCCACTGTTCTATTAAATAATCTGCTATTTTAACTTTTTCCTAGATAATCACATTTTTGCCTGGGGCAATGGTGGTAATGGCCGCCTGGCAATGACCCCCACAGAGAGACCACATGGTTCTGATATCTGTACCTCATGGCCTCGGCCCATTTTTGGATCTCTACATCACGTCCCAGACCTATCTTGCCGTGGCTGGCATACCATTCTCATTGTTGGTAAGTTTTGTATGTGTAGGGTTGGTATGGCTTTGACAGAGTGTAGACCCACAGCCAAGGTACTGTTGATCACATGTTTGGACACAGAATGTGTCCTGAAAAGCCAAGCCTATTTCTTTAAGTCTTATAATGGTCAAGGAAGCTATACCTAGTGCTAGGAACAGAACAGTATCATTTCTTGGAGCTTAGTCATCTACCGTTCTTAGATTTTCTTTAATATAACTTTGGGCCATGCCTCCCTTCTGTTACTTCTTGTCATCTTCCACTAATTAATTCCCCCCCCCCCCGACAGAAACAGAGTCTTACCATGTTGCCCTGGGTAGAGTGCCATGGTGTCACAGCTCACAGCAACCTCAAACTCTTGGGCTTAAGCAATTCTCTTGCCTTAGCCTCCCAAGTAGCTGGGACTATGGCGTTCGCCATAATGCCTGGCTATTTTTTGTTGCAGTTGTCATTGTTGTTCAACTGGCCCAGGCCAGGTTTGAACCCAACCAGCCTTGGTGTATGTGGCTAGTGCCGCAACCTCTGTGCTACATGCTCTGAGCCTCCACTAATTAATTTAATTAAGTTGACAGAGTTTCTATTCATCCTCCACTAATTTTTAATTAAGTTGTCTGTGTTCATGCTTTCATGAGAAACATTCAGTACTTATTTTAAAAGAAACTTTAAATTATGAATGCTTGCTGCATAAAGATTACTTTATTAAGGCTCGGTGCCTCTGTCTCAAGTGGCTAAGGCACTAGCCACATATACCTAA